CCGAAAGAGAACTACGTCTGAGTACATGGCAAGAACTAAGCATGCTCCTGGCAGCCACGATCACCAGGTATCCAGTTGTGGGGTGTAACCCGGTTGACTCCCGCTGGTACTCTCTCTCACTCTCTTTTTCCTGACTGCGCCTACCCGCGTCCTTGTAACTACCTATCTCCCTCTTCTCTCTCGCTCGCCCTCTTCCTCCTTCCCCTCGGGCTCATAATTGAGCTTCTCTCTTAACTCCCTTACTCGCTGTGTCAGGCTCTCTCTCTCTCTTAGCTGCCTGGCGGCTCTGACTTTTCTGTTTTTGTGAGTCGACCTTTGGGCCGCTCTCCACAGGCTCAGTGGGCGGACGGTCCGTCCGCCACTGGTCCAGTCCATGCCAGGACCAACTCTCCACCACGCTGACCTCACTTTCACCTCCCGAGTCCCGGTCCAAGTGAGCTTGCTCATGTTCCACTGTGTCTGTGGAGGTCCCCGCCTCATGGTAGGCAATGGTTACCTGCATTTCCGCTGTCACGCAATCCCTTCTACAGCGTCTCTTTGCGCATTCCTTGGCCTTAGTGACTGCCGCCTGCAACTTTGGATTTGTCCTCATCTCTGCTTCCCTGGCCCCTTCCACATTGATCTTCAATTTGGCCTCTGCTCCCCCGTCGTAGTTGAGAATCGTAGTGATCCAGGGGCCTTCCCCATACATTGTCCTCCAGCGTGGTAGGAGGTTCCAGCAGTCTCGTCTATAGCGATGTAGAGCATGAACGCTTACTTCCAGATTAGCCGAAGTTCGACGACCAGCGTCCCCACATACAGATAGCCTACCGTCTGGACACCTCGTCGTTTTGCCCTCCGGCCTTCGACTACCAGAGTCGGCAAGGCGAGGCTGCTTGTGCACACCCACTGGCTAGTGGCCAACAACTCGCCCCTTTCACCCTTTATGGGATTGCTACACACCGTGATCCCTGCGTTCTGAGCGGGGGACGAAAATGACCTTCCAGATTCGTCTGCCAGTAATTAGATTTCAAGAAATAGTAAAGTAAAAGACAAAAATGAAAGGCCAAACCTCAACAGTCACAGCACAAGCAGAACCTTCTGCTATATACCCCAGCCCTTCCGTTCTATCACGGAGTGGTCGCAAACCTGAGTCGGTGGTCCCATAATGGGGCATCGATGGCACTTTTCTTCCTTCAAAGCAGGCCTCCAGACTCCCCTTGACGGGTACCCATGTCTGATGGCAAGGAGGGGGCTTATGACGTTCCACGGGGGGTGATAGGCCTCCTACCAATGTGGCCACGGGTTGCCCCTCTTTTGGGCCCCCACCATGTGGCACTCAGCCGGACAGGTCAGCCACAGGGTGATAGGCGAAGGGTCGGGCCATTCTAGGCCACCGAGTTGCAATCGAAGTCCAAAATCGAACCGTTTGCACTCCTTCCTGCGAAGTGACGAAAAGCCGAAAGAGGAAGTAACGTCTGAAGAATCAACTAATAAAATTCATAATAATAGTAATAAAAATAGGAAAAGGAAGGGAATTATAACGCCGCTGCAGCCAGAAGCCGCTAGATCATCCCAAACTAAGGCGAAGGTCCAAATCAGCGCGCAGATCAGAGACATGACTTCCTTTCACTTTTTTATTTTATTTTCTTTTTCGTTCCTTAATCTTCTTCTGTTCGACTGTGACAATAGGCCCGTGCATCCAACCCATAACCTAGCTATGAGGCACTTGGCGCGCGGTAGAAAAAAACCGCGCCGATCCCTCCACCTTCGCGTCCCTGGGCGAGCCTGGCGACTACCGCGGCCACAGGCCGGTAGTGCTCTGCTGTACAGCAGGGCACCGAGGAAAGTCCAGTGGCCCCCCCCCCCCCCCCCCTTTTTGCTAGGGCAAGCGCCAACTGAACCGGCCTGCAGCAGAGGGCCGCCTTGGGTATGCCTGGCGCATTGCAGAAATTCATAGGCAATACCCCGCGAAGGCCCATGTGGCACACAGGTCCCCGAGCTGGTAACAGGTAAGTAGCGGGTCCTTGAGCAGGTATTGGGTACTCAGCGGAGGGAGCGGTGTCCCGACCCTCTGACGCCACGACATTCCAGCGAGCCATGAATATGGCTTTCGCAGAATTTGTTAACAAAACCCGCCTGACCCAACCCCTGGTAAATTTTTGTGTGATTGCGTATATGGATGATATTTTGTTTTTGTCCAAAACACACAAGTACTATGTGGAACATATGGAGTGGGTCTTGCATGCATTGAAAGACGCGGGGTTCAAAGTGGCTTTGGAGAAAAGCGAGTTTTTCCTCTCGGAAATCTCCTTCTTGGGATACATCGTCACGGTGGATGGCTTGAAACTAGATCCAAGGAAGGTGGCAGCCATACAAAAGGCGTCGGTGCCTGTCACATTCACTCAAGGTTGAGCCTTCCTCGGCCTGGCTTCGCATTACCGGCCATCCATCCAAGGGTTTTCTTGCGTCGTCAAACCTCTGACCAGTTTGTTGAAGAAGGAAGAACAAGTTATCTGGATGTCGGGGTGTGAGGTGAATTTTCGGACACTCAAAAAGGCCCTGACCACCAGGCCTATCCTGGCACGGCCAGATCTGACAAAACCATTTGCTCTGCACACCGATTGGCAGCGGAAGGCAATATCGGTCGTGCTGACTCAGCAGGGAGCAGACAGAAAGGAGCACGTTATCGAGTACGCATCAAAGACACTGAGCCAGACGCAATCAAAGTGCGAAGCTTGCAAGGGTGAATGTTTGGCAGCGGTGTGGAAAATTCAGCATTTTCGACCGTACCTCCATGGCCAAAAGTTTGTTCTCGTGACCGATCATCAGCCGTTGTTGTCCTTATGAAACAGCACGGATTATACGGGAACACTGGGAAGGTGGGCAGTGAGGCTGCAAGACTACGATTTCGACATCCGCCACCGCGCAACCAAACAACACGGAAACGCCGACGGGCTGACCCGCCACCAGCCACCGAAGAAGTGCCCACCGGATGAACGACTCATTATGTGGAAGCCTTAGGAAGCTTCGCCTCCAACGGAGCCTCGCTACGAAGAGGTACATGTCATTCGCAAGGGAAGCACTGAGACGCGAGATGGCGACCCCCCTTGAAGTAACGGCTACCCCTTCACCTTCCTCTAGCTCTTCGACCCACGTGTCTACCCCTCACTCTCCCTCTAGCCTATCTTTGCATTCCTGCTTTTTCTGCACCTTGCCTATGATACCGGACCGGGGAAATTCACACCCCGGAGGACCTAGTTTTATCTCGTGGGTACGATGCAGCCAATCCTGCATGACGTGGTCCCACGGGTGTTGCATTACATACCGGAACGAGAAGAAGTGGGATTGTCCCAACTGCCGAACAGGCCAAGTACCCACTGAGAAACAGTATATACTATAGGCTAGGACAAAGGACGAATTTTTGGCAAGTGCCCGTAGAGCAGAGGTCTGGACAGATCTCCTCCTGTTAAGGAGACTCAAAGGGGACCCGTTAGCGGAGCTTACCAAGGCAGAACATCGATAAGTCACGGAATGGGCTTATGATTATCGATGGCAGAAGTCGGTCTTGCAAAAACGAAAAAACAATGTTGATAGCGGATCTAGCTCGCTGACGGTTCCACACGCTCTCGCTAGGTTCGATTGGACACGATTCACACGAGCTGCCCACGAAGAGGATGCGGTCCATTTCTCAGTCAAGTACACGAAAAAAGCTATAGAGAAAAACAGATGGTATTGGTCGGGAATTCGGGAGGATGTTAGCTACATCGTCCAAAATTGCCCGGCCTGTGCGGTCGATAAGGCACCGGTACAGATGCCTCAAACGATGGTACCAATTAGGGTAGAATGCCCCTTCCAACGAGTTAGCTTTGAATCCATTGATACAACGGATATCAATGTGTCGAGAAGCTATGTAACCGTTTAAACGCGCTGGACACGCGTTCGCGTTCACACGCGTCGGGGCCGCGTTCAATCGCGCTATGCGCCACGTGGCGCGAATTTGTTAAACTCGACCCCTGTTCGGGCGTGCGCGCGCCAGGGGCCACGGGGTGGTGGGCTGCGTTTTTCGAGATGACACGAAAGAAAAAAGGCCAGCAGCTGTCGCCTTGCTCGGACCGCCCCCGCTCCGCCCCTGCTAGCCCGCCAGCAAGTCGCCCCGCCGCCAGCCCCAGACCGCCCAGTACACCCACCGCCAGCGCCCACACCCCGTCGCCCCGGCGCCGGAGCGCCCACACCCCGTCGGCCTGCCGCGGCGCACCAGCGCCCACACCCCGACGGCCCGCCTACAACAAGACCACACCACCCTACTCCACTCCCTCCATTCAACACCCCCCCACCCCCCCGCACCCCGTCGCTTCCACACCCCATTGGCCGAACCCCCTGATGACCACCCCCCGAACCGGACTAGACTATGACAAGC